ATTGTCCAAGAGCTTCTGTAACTTCGTCGAACTTGGAGCCAATTTTAACCTTTACAGTGACTTTTCTGTCAAGCCAGTCCTATCGGAATTTATTCTTGACATTTGAGTCAATTTCTAGGATTTAAGACTCCTGATCTTTCGTCAAAAATTTCATAATTCCGCTCAAAACGATCCCAGAACAATGAATTTGCGAGACGAACAGGCCGCCATGAATCAGGTAAAACAATATGTTACATGCAATTTGATTGGTCCAATCGCTTGTAGTTAACCAATTGCTGGGCCGTTTATAATCGAGCTAAGACTTCCGCAACAAATAATGCCTTCAGTGATCTGATTAGTTGAAGCTTTCATACACGTCCAATCGCAGGGCTGTTTACAAACGGAAAACGGAGAGACTGTTCGGGAGAGCTCGTGAAAACTCGACGATAAGGTACCTGACCGCCCCTAAAATTTTCTCAACGGATTTAGACGATTCACAAAAATGATCAATTTAAGAAACAAAACGGCGGATTTCCGCGAATCCGCGGAAAATTGCCATGTATGTAAGTGGGCATTGCTTTAAATCATGTGGTGGGGGGGCATCTCATTTGAATGGCACCAATTACTTTTGTCTCATCTACTTGTACCTTTGAAGTGGATTTGCATGCATTTTTTCATGAGTAGCTTACAAGGTGAACCACGATCAGGCGATTTGCACTTCATCTCATCTGAGCCATCTGCACAGTGGGCACGCCCGTCACACACATATATTCTGCGGATGCACTTTCTCCGATCACTGCACAAGAAATCAGCTGACAAGGGAAGGGAGGGATCAATTATTTTGATGGTCTGCTTGTTGTTTCTGCCACTCCATCAACAATATGTTCGGACTTACTTGGGCGTTTACACTTGAAAACACAGTTGCTCTCATCAAACGCATCTGGGCAGTCTGTTTTTCCATCGCAGAGCTGTTTTTGAGAGATACACAATGACGAACCTGGGCATACAACTGAAGGAGTGATGCAAACTGGAGCAGCACTCTGAATCAGAGGTGTAATTGTTGGGGTCACAGCATCTGGGAAGAAGAAGTTGCTGAATGACAATCTTGTTTATAATTACGGCACATCTGCAAGCACCGAGTGTTACGTTGACTACCGGTACGTTTCACGCAAAATAAGACTTTTCTTCAAACACGTAGAGAACAGAAAACGGTCATTCATTTTAAACAGCTCCAATTTTCACAAGGGGACTTACCACATCCCATCTCATCCGTGCCATCGACGCAGTCTGGCTCACCATCACACAGGAATTTCTTTGGGATGCAGCGATGGCCATCTGCACAGTGATACTCGCAGCTTTTGATTGGTTTCAAGCAGTCCAGCTCATCGGAACGGTCACTACACTGAGCTCTTCCATCACACACCTGAGCCTCAGGGATGCACATCACGCCATGAGCACACTGAAACTCACCTTCGAGAGAGTAGAGAAGAAAAGTAGGAACATTAGAGGGGAAATGGAGTGAGAAAAAAAAATTCCCATGATATACGGCCTGATGAATAAACCACTGACTTCATTTACAGGAAAAAAAAAACTGATGACATTTCTCTAAGCAAAAGAACCTTTTGTGCATGTTTCCTGGCATCCTTCTTCATCAGATCCATCCAAACAATCTTTCTCTCCATCACATACATGGCTGTAGAGCACACATTCTGTGCCATCTTCACACAGCTTTGTGCCCTTACGGCATTTCACAACATTAGCTGGAGTTGAGCGAGGAACTCCACTCTGACAGGCCACCTCATCTGAGCTATCGTGGCAATGAGCCCGGCCATCACACACTAGAGATTTTGAGACGCAGCTCCTACGATCCTTGCACAGAAAGTCAGCTATGGAGGCAAGAAAACGGGATTAAAAAAAAATAAAATAGCAGTTTAACCGCAATGTCACTACTTACTCTTATAAGGGCATCTTTTCACGCAGTCCTCATCTGATCCATCAGGACAGTCTTTTGTTCCATCACATATTTGTGTGGGGGGAATGCAAAGAAAAGAATTTGGACACAATACTGATGGACTCTTACAGGAAGGACGATACAAGGGCGGGGCAAACGAAGGCAACGGATTTAAGCCTGGACTGGAGCTCGACTGGGTTTCTGCAGAACAAAAAAAAAAAGTTGAGAAATGTGAACATTTAAGTTTTTAAAGATGAAAATAATAGAGAGCAAGCGCAATAAATACATTACAAACTCAAACAGCCTCCTTGAAAATGTTGACATACCACATTGAGATTCATCTGACCCATCTCGACAATCTTTCTCTCCATCACATACATGGCTGTAGAGCACACATTCTGTGCCATCTTCACACAATTTTGTGCCCTTACGGCATTTCACAGCATTAGTTGGAGTTGAGCGTGGAACTCCACTCTGACACCCCACCTCATCTGAGCTATCGTGGCAATGAGCCCGGCCATCACACACTAGAGATTTTGAGACGCAGCTCCTACGATCCTTGCACAGAAAGTCAGCTATGGAGGCAAGAAAACATAATTTAAAAAAATAAATAAATAAATAGAGCAGTTCAACCACAATGTCACTACTTACTCTTAGAAGGGCATCTTTTCACGCAGTCCTCATCTGATCCATCAGGACAGTCTTTTGTTCCATCACATATTTGTGTGGGGGGAATGCAAAGAAAAGAATTTGGACACAATACTGATGGACTCTTACAGGAAGGCCTATTCAAGGGCGTGGCAAACGAAGGAAATGGATTTAAGTCTGGACTGGAGGTAGACTGGGTATCTGCAGAACAAAAAAAAAAAAAAAAAAGTTGAGAAATGTGAACATTTAAGTTTTTAAAGATGAAAATAATAGAGAGCAAGCGCAATAAATACATTACAAACTCAAACAGCCTCCTTGAAAATGTTGACATACCACATAGAGATTCATCTGACCCATCTTGACAGTCTTTTTCTCCATCACAAACATGGCTGTAGGGAACGCATTCAGTCCCATCCCAACATAGCTGGAAGCCCACACGGCATTTTAGCATCTTCACTCGGCTGACAGGAGGAGCGATTGTTGGACAATTAACCTCATCTGAGCTGTCGTGGCAATGAGCTCGACCATCACAAACCAGCTTCTTGAGAACACAGCTCCGCCTGTCTTTGCAGAGGAAGTCCGCTGTGCAAATAAGAAGTTTTAAAAACAAAAACCAATCACATGTACAATTCATGCATTGTTTCATGATGTAAAAGCATCCAACTTACACTTATTTGGGCACCGTTTCACACAGTTATACTCATCGGATCCATCAGGGCAATCTTTGATGCCATCACATATCTGTGTTTGAGGGACACATGAAGAATCTGGACACAGAAATGAAGGACTCTGGCATGGTGGCTTGCTGGGAGGTCGAGTATTGACAATCAAAGGAGGTGGAGTTAAGTGGACATTTTCCGGAGGAGCCATTGTGACATCTGTAAACATGACAGTACCACTGAACACCTCAGATTTGACATGAGCATCAAAAATATGCCTCTCGAGTCATCACATTGTTTATAATCATGCTAAGAGGAATCTCAACATGTAAACTCACCGCAACCTTCCTCATCAGAGCCATCTCTGCAATCCGGCTCGCCATCACACACGTGACTGTAGCGAACACACTCACTGCCATCCTGACATAACATTGAGCCCATGAGACACCTCAAGGCCTTTGCTTGGCTGGCAGGGATTTTAACACCGGGACAACCGACTTCATCAGAGCTATCATGGCAATGAGCACGTCCATCACAGACGAGGTTCTTGGAGACACAGCTCCTTCGATCCTTGCATAAAAAGTCAGCTATGGAGGCAGGAAAATGTGATGCAAAACAAGAAGCCATTTGCGGTTGAACCTAAAACCTGAAGACTTACTTTTATAGGGGCATCTTTTCACACAGTTCTCATCTGAGCCGTCAGGACAGTCTTTTGTTCCATCACACATCTGTGTCGGTTGAATGCAAATAAAGGAGTGCGGACAAAACATTGACGGACTGATACAAGATGGCTTATCATAGGATTTTGTGGATGAGGGCAATTCATTTGAGTCTGGACTGGGGGAAGACCGTCTTTCTGCAGAGTCGAAAAGTTGAGAAATACAACAGTTGTAAAAGCTTAAAAACGTATAAGGTTTAGTGTTCTTGACAATGAAAAAAATTTTACTTTTGATTAATTCATCACTGAAATTCCTCAAAAGTCAAATGTAAGGTCCTAAACAGAAACTTTCCCATAAAACTTCAACATACCACATTCCTCTTCATCTGACCCATCCTGGCAGTCTTTTTCGCCATCGCACACATGGCTGAAGGAAACACATTGAGTCTGATCCAGACACAGCCAGAAACCCACGCGACATTTTGGCACCTTAACCCGGCTGGCACGAGGAGCAATGGTCGGACAGTCAACCTCATCTGAGCTGTCGTGGCAATGAGCTCGGCCATCGCAAACCAACTTCTTGAGAACACAGCTCCGCCTGTCTTTGCAGAGGAAGTCCGCTGTGGAGTACAGAAAGGAGAAAAAACAAAGAAAAAGTAGAATATATGCATTGTTGACTCATCCAAAATGATTGAACTTACACTTATTAGGACATCGCTTGACACATGTATTTTCATCAGATCCATCAGGACAATGTTTTATGCCATCACATATCTGTGTGGGGAGGATGCATGTAGAATCTGGACACAGAAATGAAGGAGTCGCGCATGTTGGGAGCTTGACGGGAGCTTGCGTATTGACTGGCAGCGGAGGTCGATTTAAGCGGCCATTTCCTGGAGGCGTCATTGCAGTGTCTGAATAGGAAATTTCACATCAGCACAGAATGAACAACGAAAAAAAACTTCAGGTTAAACGTTAAAAATGTTGCCTCTGTAGGTACCACAGCAAAATGTATAACTTGGATGGACAACGGGAATCTCAATACGTATGCTCACCACAACCTTCTTCATCAGAGCCATCTCTGCAGTCTGGCTCTCCATCACACACGTGACTGAAGAGAACACATTCACTGCCATCGCGACATAACCTGGAGCCCATGAGACACCTCAAGGCCTTTGCTCGGCCGACAGGGACGGCAACACTCGGACAGTCCGCTTCATCAGAGCCATCGTGACAATGAGCACGCCCGTCGCAAACGAGACTCTTCGAGACGCAGCTCCTACGGTCCTTGCAGCGGAAATCTTCTGGGGTGAAATGAACATTTGAAATTTAAATCAGTGGTTTTGTGTAAATCCAGAGAAATACTGTTGCTCAACTGAAGTGCCAAAGGAGGAAGATAAAAGATGAGAATGTTCTGAAATATTTACCATCCGAATATGTCTCTAGGAGCTACAAGTGCCGTCGTATAGCAATGACAGTTAACCAATTTAGTGAGCGCTGAAGACAAATTTGCTTTCCTGATAATAATCTCAGCTATGTTCCTTGAGAAAAATGTCAGTAATTCCAGAAATAAGTGTTTGGGCACAGAAACATTAGCCCACTCGGCCCCAGCAAGAGCGTTTGAACAACTTATGATAGCACAAGGTTAACATACTGGGTGGATTTTTGACTAAGTTCTGTATTTCTGACTTACTTTTAGAGGAACATCTCCTCACACAGTTATTTTCGTCAAAGCCGTCGGGACAGTCTTCTCGACCGTCACAAAACTGCTGTGGGTAGATGCAGAGACGAACAGAAGGATGGGGACAAAGGACGGATGGTCTGATGCATGCAGGCGGGGCTGGTGTAGAACTTGCGATTTTTGGGGCAATTTTGTTCGATGCACCGGGGGCTGGCTGCGTTGGGGTCACATCCTGCTCTGTTGCGTTTCGAAAATACGAATTGGAATTTCACCATGCAGGATTGAAGCCATGAGAAAGTTATAAGTTACTCACCACATTCCTCTTCATCCGAGCCATCCTTACAGTCTTTCTCCCCATCACACACGTGGCTGTACAGCACACACTCTATGCCGTTCTTACATTGCCTCGAGCCCTTTCGACACTTGAGGGCATTCACCCGAGGCCCAAGTGAGGCGACAGCAGGACACTCGACCTCATCCGAGCCATCGTGGCAATGAGAGCTGCCGTCACACACCAATTCTTTTGACACACAACTCCTCTGGTCCTTGCACTTAAAATCATCTAAGAATTCAAGTTCAGAGGGAGAGGAGACATGACCATCGGAAGCTGTTGAACTATCATGTGGACCGGGTTGAGACTTCACCTTTGGATGGACATGTTTTAACACAAAAACTTTCATCATCTCCATCTGGACAGTCCTTTTTGCCATCACACAGCTTACTTTGAGGCAGGCAGATGGCTGTGCCCTTGCACTGCATAAATGCGTTCGTGCAGATGACAGTCACCGGCACTATGGAAACAAAACATTTTTCACCCCATGTAAATCTGCATGCACCTTCTAAATTTGACACTGAATGATCGCAATAAAGGTGTCGATATGAACCTGCGTGTACATCCCTGAGTGCTGCCAGCACAGTGACCACGGGACCTCTCACTGCCACATCCTGGATAGGGCGCCCATCACGTCGGTCCGACAGGGTCATAACATCCTCGGACAGAGACAACAGGTAAGGCTCCAGGGCACCGATCACAGAGCCAGAGACTTTCCATCTTCTTCCCGCTTGGTGTTTCTTCCCCTGGAGCAGACTCATTGTCATCAGGCCTGGGAAGTGTAAGAGAAGCACAAGTCTTAGCATTAGAAAACTCAAGTGGTTAACTGTCCATTTATAATTTCTCACTAAATCATACTTGCAGATCATTTGAAATGTGTCAAATGCTGAATCTGATTATTAACCAGCGCCCTATGTACAAAGTGTAACGTGTTTGCCATGTTGCACGTCATCTCTGAAGTCAATTCACTGAGGCAGATTGCAAAGTGCAGGATGTTATATAAACGTTGCCGCCAATAGGGTTTCCAAGATGCATCGTTGCCCGAAGGCAGAATCCTCGCATCTCCAAAAGTATTTTTCAGGATATTAAAAGAGGGGGCATATTTTAAGTTATGAAATACTGTATTGTGAAAGCTCAAGCAATTTAACACTTGATTTGTTAAATTGTAAAATTTAAAAAAAAAAAAAAAAAAAAAGTCAGATTGGGGTCTAACCAATGATAATTTGTGGGAAAAACAAAATTGTAAAAAAAAACAAACATTCTATTTTCGTTGTCATGATTTATTTCAATGTAAAATCGTAACAAACCTGCGTCGTTGGAGTTCCACAATAGACTACCAGCTCTCAAGTCAAAGGCCATGCCCCCGATGACTCCTGTCAAGTGCAACAGTTCTTTGACCTTGCCTCCAGTCATGCTCATGGTGAAAATCTGCTCCTCCTCAAACCAAATGATTCCACCCCTGAGCCAGTCCAGGAAGAGGCTTCGAATCTCCTTCGTTGTGTGGTACAACTGCTTCTGGTAACGACTGTCCACTTCCACTGAGCCTATGCGGGTTTGGTCATATGACACCCAATACACGCTCCCACTCTTCTGGTCCACTTTGATAAGACAAACTTTAAAAAAAATAATACAAAATACAGATAAGGATTGACAAGTTATACGAAGCAATACTATGATGCTATATTGAATGAGGTACACAAATGCAAAACTTCCCGCGTTTTTTGGATGACTACATTTAGGCCTTTAAAAGCTGAAAAATAAAAAGCCTAAAATCATTCACCTGACACTGTTGTAGGAATCCACTCCGTCTTGACATGGGTTAGGCTGGTGCGTTGGATGTGGCCAGTTTGGTTGGCCCAGTACAGCCAGTCCGTGTTCCAGTTCACATCAAATGACAAGATGCCTTGGTCCGTAGCAAAGAGCTCAGTTTCTGTGGACAGGCTGTCTTTAAACTCCAACAAGTTAATATTTTTGGCGGTAGCGTACAGGAATCTTGGATCTGAAGCACACAAAGAACGCATTTCAACCTTCCTTTTTCACTAAATGATCAGAGACCAACAAACGGTCTAGCGAGGATTATGTTGACAAGATCGAGAACCTACATTCACATGTGCCGTCAACCATCAGTACTTTGGAGTTGGGACAAGTACAGGTAAATCCCACAGGGTTGCCTTTGGTGAGCAGGCACATCTGGCACGGGGTCTTGGCACATGCAGATGTACCTAATTGTTGAGGAAACATTTGCTTTTGAAAAAAGGCAGACACTTTCAATTTGCATGATGAAAACCATGAGCAAGTTGTGAGGAGGAAGACCAAGTTGCCCCTTACCTTTTGGCTGCTGCAGCTCATGGTAAACGGACAAAAGTGGGAGTGTGGATTTCCCCAGAAACTTCCTCTTGTTTGGTTGGGTTTGCGGCATCTGCCAGAGTCCTTTGTCATCCATCCAGTAGAAGGAACTTTCAAACACGGCCAGGTTCAGAGCTGGTCTCTTGTTGAACAGGCCAGTGAAGGTGAAGCGGCCGGTTCCATCCACTTTCATTGTCTCAATGGACTGATGGAAAAAGTCAAAGTTAGATCTACTTTCTGGATGAGAAAAGACTGTCATTTTTTTTTTTTTTTAGTCACCATCTTGAAGTCACTGATCCAGTACAGTCTCCTGGCAGCCACGTCTGCTGTCAGTCCATGGGCCAATTGAGCTGTGAGCACTGTCAGAGAGCTTCTGTCTGACCCATCCATCCATGACCTCTCTATGGTCACCCTATCACCAGGGCCCGTGTTGACCCAAAACATCAAGCTGCCAGAACAAAGACCAAAGAAGCTTTTAAGATAATGCTTTTAGGGGAGAAAAAAAATGAATCAACTCTAATTGCATCCTGTTGAAAATGTTGATCAAGCCCACCTCTCCACCGGAAGGATAACCAATTCTGATGGGCTGATAGATTTGCTCAACAGAGCGGTGTAACTTTGTTCGTCATCTGCTTGCATGTAGATTGATTCTGTCCTCTGATTTGTCCAGAAAAGGTTTCCGTTCAGCCAATCACAAGCTAGACCTTTGATTCCAGGCTCTCCTATGTGAGCAAACATTTGAAGGACAGGTCAGCTTAATGCTCATGAAATAGCAAATGAAACACTTATGTTTTGAATGATTGCCAAAATTCTTTCTTTGGATGAAGCGTCACAGCTACAGTCATACTTGTGCATGCTTCATGAGTTTCGGAAGTCATTATAGATGAACATGAGGTATGGGTAAGAGCGTAACAAACCAGTATGAATTGTCCAGCTGCGCTGCCCATCACTTTTATATAGGACTCCCATGTTGTCAGCCCAATAGTAGTGGGCTCGGGCAATGTCATATGTCACGACAACTGGGTTGAACTTTAGAGTCTGGAGCACGTCAAAATGTTGTGACTTCACATTCAGCAGCCCGACAGATGTCCCCAACACTGTCAGCAGCCGGGTAACATTTCCTGAATAAAGGTAGCAGGTGTAACATTTCTTATGACACTTAAAAATTCACATTCAAGATTGTATTTTTTTCCCCTCTCTCTGATTCATAACACTTATTGATTTGGCATGAATAAGCTATTATAATACAAACATCAAATATGAAATTATACCATAATCCATAATTACCTGTGGCCAGACAGGCAAAGCCTTCATTCTGATTAAAGCCTTCTCTGCAGTGGCAAAAGTAAGATCCATCTGTATTGCTGCAGTGATGGAGGCATGGCGCAAAAGGAAGGGCGCATTCATCCACATCTGCGGGCACAAAAGTGGTTCAGCTGTTTTGGGTCAAATCAAAGCAGTGGCACACCACAGCCAGCAGGTGGTGCTGTGGTATAAATTGTCATTTTACTACTGTATACAGTCATGCAATGACACTTCACTCTTTCTGTCATAGGTCGATCCCAGAGTTTTGTATCATATTTAGCGAATATTATATGGTATAGTTTTCAACTATATTTCAGTATTTTATAGTTATGGTCCCCCATCGACTGTTACTGCAGAGCAAGAAGCTCAAGCCAAGATGAAAGTGTCCAAGCTTTGGGCTCATTTTATGCATAAAATAATCTATGGCGATTAAAGTATACATTGTTAGCCAGTTTAAAAAACTTCCTCCACTAGTTAGAAGGAATTGTAATGCCTCCACCGCTGGTCAAGTATCGACACTTTTGACCTTGGTGCCTGAAGTCATTCAATTCAACAAAAAAAGTGAATTCAGAGAGTGTGTCACCTTTGCAGACTGCTAAGCTTTGGGCTCATTTCATACATAAAATAATCTATGGCGACGGAAGTATACATTGTTAGCCAGTTTAAAAAACTTCCTCCACTAGTTAGAAGGAATTGTAATGCCTCCACCGGTGGTCATGTATCGACACTTTTGACCTCGGTGCCTGAAGTCATTCAATTCAACAAAAAAGTGCATTCAGAGAGTGTGTCACCTTTGCAGACTGCCCCATTGATGTCGAGTTTATATCCAGGAGGACATGTGCACAAAGCACCCCATGGCTGATCTACACACATGTGGCTACAACCGCCATTATTTACAGAACAGGACTGCCCTGCAAGCATAAATGACAAAAACTATTTCGTCGCATCACGTTACTTTGAGCCTCAATTAGTGGTCAATGCTGTTGATTGGAAATCTTGGCTGCTCATTTTATTTCAGACCAAACCTACCACAGGTAACAGGCTCATCGCTGCCATCTGAGCAGTGAAACTTTCCATCACACATCTGGTCAGCAGACAGACACACCTCTGCACACTGTAGGCTCCCCTCACTGCACAAAACTGGAAATCAGAGAAGAAATGTCACATTTTAAATGTGCACGGAAAAAAGTGATTTCATAAAACAACATGAAAGCTTCTTTACCACAGCCCTCTTCATCAGAGTTGTCCATGCAGTCGTCGTTTCCATCGCAGCGCAGTTCCCCGGAGATACAAATGTGGTTCCCACAAGTCCAGTCCGATTCCAAACAGCCATCGGCGACTGCACAGTTCTCCTCATCTGAGCCAGTTGGACACTGCTTCTGTCCGTCGCAGCGTGCTGATGCGTCAACACAACCGACAGAGCCCACACATGGAAACTGACCGGGTGGACACTGTGAGGAGCCTTGAGGAACTGAGGGAAATCCATTGTAATTGAATCATCAAGTTTTTCTTCGAACCATAGTAATGTTCAAACCATGCTTGTTACAGTGGATTACAATATTAAATATACTTTTTTAGGAATAAAGCCTCAATTTTGATGAAGACTAACTATGCTTCTATATTTTGTCGTCGTCATGATGGTGGTACCTTGATAGCCAATTGAAAACTGACCGGGTGGACACTGTGAGGAGCCTTGAGGAACTGAGGGAAATCCATTGTAATTGAATCATCAAGTTTTTCTTCGAACCATAGTAATGTTCAAACCATGCATGTTACAGTGGATTACAATATTAAATATACTTTTTTTAGGAATAAAGCCTCAATTTTGATGAAGACTAACTATGCTTCTATATTTTATTGTCGTCATGATGGTGGTACCTTGATAGCCAATTTATTTTTTTTTATATGGTATAAAAACAACCACTTGGACAAATGTGATCTTACTATGATATATTTGAGTCTTGTCCATCAATTAGCAAAAAATATATATATATTGCAGATCGCATTCAGCAGCATAATATGGAGGCGGTCATCATTTCAGTCTATTAAGGATTAGAGTTCGCTCAGGCCAATCAAAAGGTACATCATGTTTCATATTTGTATAACTTATGAATTATTGTTTACTTGTGTGTTACTACCTGGTGTTGAAGTTTGTTGAGTTAGTTGTGCAATTTGGAGTCTGCTTTCAGTGAATGTAAACAGTTTATGCATCATTTGAAACCAAATACAGAAGATTCTAAGAGAAATCGGATCTCACCATTCAAGTTGTATTTAACTGGACAGTTGGACCTACTTTTTTTTTTTTTTTTAAACAAAACCAACATAAAAATGAAGCTGTTACACGACATGTCTACACAGACTAATTCATGAATATTTAAAACAAGAATGGCATATAAAAAGGTAGCAACAGTGCAACACTAGTTGTGTTACTGTGTGCATGCTTTTTGACAATCTCGTATCCAGTCCGCGAATTCAGCCCATTGCTGATGAGATTAAAACAAAAGAGGAACGTACCAGTACAGTCCATCTCATCAGAGCCATCCAGGCAGTCCCCTTCTCCATCACATCTCCATATATCAGCGATGCAAGCTCCATCATCACATTGCCACTGGTTTGGGTGACATTGGAAATTCTGCCCTGAAGCGTACCCAGAAATTTATTGCGTTAGTTCGAGTGACGTCAACAACAGTGTGGTGTTTGAAACGCAAGTTTGACTCCAGCGCAACCAATTGCGGTTCTAGAAAACATACAACCAGGTATGCAAAACCGCCCACGATATATGAGAACACCCTGTCAAATGATCAGTTAAACGTCAAGACCCAACGTCAAATTCAAATGAGCGCCATTTTGTTTGAACGTGATGAGATGCCTGAAAACACGCACAAGCAAAAGAAGAGGAAAGGGGGGCGGGGAGATAACTTTAACTCCCAAGCGCTAAATTCAAGAAATACAGGAATGAAAAGTGTAGTTACCTGCGCATAACTTCAAAACTGACAGGGCAAGCAAACAAATGAGCTGGCGTGACTTCATGTCGGAGACACGCGACTCATCTGGACGAAGTGCAGCACCTGCAAGGGCAACGTCAATTAAAGCTCCAATTGCACATGCGCACTCCTGCACACGGATGTAAACACAACAAAATCATACGTATGCGGAAAACATTTTCATTTATATAGAGGAGCATACCATATAGTTCAAGGATAATAAAACGGACAGTTGCTCTTCTCTCTCCCTCTCTGTGTTTATATATGCAACAAAAAAACTTCCAATATATAGCCTATAATTGATGAGTCATGTCATTCAAATAGTCCATTTAAACTTACTTAATGGAGATCAAAACCAATAGCATGTATTTGATGTTGCCTCTATAAGGACTTTTTGAGCACAAGAACAATTGGAAACCAATAAATCAGGACTCAGGAGCCTTTGTTGTTCCCTGGATCCCTTTCAAGAGTGATTGTGCAATTTGATTAAGTGAAGGGAGCCAAGGGCTCATTAATAACTCTTTGATGCTGCTGTCATTTGTAATGCAGATTTGGCGCTGGAAAACCAGTTCCAAACGAATCCCTTGTACACGTCAACACGTGTATGTGAATTAAATATTAAATTAATGAGTATATGTATTTCACTTATTCTTAAAAACATAGGAGAATAAAACAGATTTCTGAAATGCCTTACCATGACTCATGCATTGCAATTCTGCACAATCGTACAAATACAATATTAAATACTCTCCAACAATTACAGCAATATAATTTGCTCTGAAAAAAAAAAAGAATTCTAAAAGTATTTTAATATGTATACATGTATGATAAATAGATTAAGAACATGTTTTTGTTTTGGGAGTTTTTAAAATAACGAATCACAATTCAAATATTTATTTGGATAATATGGTATTTTTTTTTTATTCACTGATATTGCAGATAAAGGGTTCAATATAACGAATCACAATTCAAATATTTATTTGGATAATTTGGTATTTTTTTCATTCACTGATATTGCAGATAAAGGGTTCAAGATTGCTGAGCAGATTTTTTTAAACGTCAATAAGTATTCATAATTGCGTTTAAGTCAATTACAATTAATATGCAATTTGCCATCATTCTGCGATATTGCTTCTAAAAAAACTGTTGCACGATGGTTATGGATCTATCTATCTCATCTATATTTTCCATTTTCCTTTGTTTTCATTCTGTGATATTGCCGAAAGCAAATGTTCAACGAGTTATTCGTTGATTTTTAAACAGTCATTCTCAATAACCGCCCCGACCCCCCAAAAAATACCAGGGGAGAATATTTGAAAAATCAAATCGTGTAATATCTCATAATTACATAAAACTGGATACTTGTATTTCAACCTAAACTTGCCTGCGTGTGATGAACTCCTGCATTTGCCTCCCCATTAATCAGACGGCTCCCTAATCTCCTTAACTCAAATTATTGTGAGGGCTTCTTATCAACAAAAATCAAGTTGTGGCCCGCTCCTCTTTTTTCTCACCTCGACCACTACAAAAGAGCGAAGTGGTTTCGATGCATCATGTCACATAAAAAAAAAAAAATGTTTGTGCAAGTACGGCGTGCTATATCTGTACGGAGCGCCGTCCGTGGATCAAAGACGCGCCGATTGTATCGTAACCCCTTCAAAGGATTTCACACATCTGGCGTGGGGGTATAAAACACCGAGGCAAGCATCTCAGATGCAACATTTGGAAACGACCTGCCAGCAGTGACAAGACTTCGATGGTGCAATTATGGCGAAAGCTGCTGTGTTTCTCCTTCTGGGTTTATGCGTCGCCGCGACGCACCCGGACGCGCTTCTGCGCGGCTCGGCCGACCGCCCCACACTCACCTTAGAGCGGCGCAAGGCCGGAGGACTGCCCGTCTTCATGATGCAACTCTACCGGACCATGCTGATCGAGAGCCTGCCCGGAGCCAAGAGCTGGACCGAGGATAGCCCTGGACTTCATGGCTCGGATTATGTGACAAGCCTTGTCGCTAAAAGTAAGTGTTTTGTTTTAAAACGGTGATATTTTCAATGTCATTTGGTCAAAGTTTTGATTTTTTTCCCCTCCACTTTGTGTTTATTCAAACGTACGAACTAACTTTATAAAAAATTTAGGGAGGGTTTTGTCCATCAAATAAGCAAACCCATTTAGTCTGATAGTAAATGTTTTCATTTGATTCATAACTTCAGCAAGTAATGCAGAATTCACAGTTTGTATGCAGCGATGGCTGTTTGAAAGTGCTCTATAAATACAGCTGAGTTGAGTTGAGTTGTATCACGAGATCACGAATATTGTGCTTTTGGACAAAATCTTCCATCTGCCACGACAAAACTCAATTTTGCATTATTATATTGAACATTTTCCAAATAATCGACTTGAATATGTCATCGAAAAGCATCAAAGCTTGACACAAAAAGTTGAGGGGGAATCGTGTAATATGACCAGGTGATTTTTCGGGTTCCCACACAAAACATTTTGACTTTGGATCTGTCCGAATTGCTCTTCTGTAAGCACAGTTCAGCTCAACGTCTGGTGAGCAGATTTCAAGGTTAGCCAAAGCAAGAGCAAATGCTATTGTTAGTGTTTTCAAAGCATAGTAATTCACATTGCTCAAATTGTGACTGTTGCACTTGTCTACAGACTTTATTTCCTTAAAAGCAGAAAAAAAAAACTACTGATGTTGCATTATCCACTAAAGAAATGATGAAGACAATCATGTGGTTTCATCAAACCGATCCACTTGGGCCTGCAAATGAAAAGTTTGACAGCCCCGTTGTAGTCCAAATTCAAATCAAATGTGTACCATTTTCTGTCCGTAATCATGTCAACTTGTACTTGCATCTCTTCCAGGCTGCGAGCAGAGAGGCGCCAGGTGGTCCGTCACCTTTGACGTATCCTCCCTGTCTGCCGGTGACCGCATCCAACAGGCCGAGCTTCGCATTCGCCTCCCGGACTTCAGCGAGTCCCCCACAGCCTCGGTCGATGTCTTCCACTCGTGCTCTGATCACAGCTGCTCTTGCGGCAAACTCTTTCTGGGCAGCCTGAGGGCCCAACCCAGCACCATGAGATCGTCCTCTTGGAAGGTGTTCTCCGTGACCCACATGCTCCATCGCTGGCAAGAGCAGGGACCGTCCACACGTCAGCCGGAGGACGCTAAGGAGGATTTGGAGGCAATTCAGCACCGTCCAACGAACCGGGTCATGATGGTGATTTTTGCAAGGCAGAACCCTGACATCCAGCAGATGCCCTCTCTCATCCACACGGCCGTGCAGTCCAAGTACGTGAGCCTGGACAGGGAAGCCGGCCCCAAGACTAAGCACGGCAGAAACAAAAGGTTCTCCCAGCAGCGGCGGAGAGGAAGGATATCGGTGGCGACACCTGCTGGCATTGGGAACAAAGAGGATCCTCTGTGCGGGAAGGTGGACATGTGGGTGGACTTCGAGAAGTTGGGCTGGAGCCAGTGGATGGTTTACCCCAAACGCTACAACGCTTTCCGCTGTGAGGGCGCCTGTCCCGCGCCTGTCGATGAGAGCTTCAAGCCCACTAACCACGCCTACATGCAGGTAAGACTCACTTTTCCCCCACGCGGCCGTTTGAACATCACTGCTCTAACGGAACGCTTCTCTTCTCCTTCCCTCCACAGAGTCTGCTCAGGCTGCACCACACACCCAAGGTGCCGTGTTTGTCTTGCGTGCCCACCCGTTTGGCGCCGCTGTCCATGCTCTACTACGAGAGCGGCAAGATGGTCATGAGGTACCATCAGGACATGGTGGTGGAGGAGTGCGGCTGCCACTGAGCGGCGCTAAGAATCACAGACTCTTGACTGAAAATGGCAGTGGGAAAATGATGTGATCGATTTATGTGGCTTAGATTGTGCCAGTTCCAAATATCACTCAGCAAAAAGCTCTGCTAGGTCACCGAGTGGAGCACTGAAGTTCAAAACATAATACACGAAAGCGATATTTTGCCTTTTCAAAGATACTGTAATTGACATGTAAATGTGAGCGCTTTCAAGTTATGGAGAAGTTTGGGTCACATCGACCCATTTGTATGTTTACCTTGTACAGTACAACATTAAATTATGCCTTATTTTCAATAAGTCGTGCATGAGTCATTATAAACCGGGAGGATTATTTCTACTCTCGTTAATTAAAATGCTGTCATCACCAGTGCAGAGGTAAGCACGACACACTGATGAGAATGCAGTGAAACACAATTCAAGCCTTTTAAATAGTTATTTGCACATTTAACTCCGATGAGGCGTGCCCAAGTGTCTTAATGTGGTTTTTACCTTCTTTTATCAAAATCAGTGTTTTATTTATATATGTGTGTGTGTGTGTGTGTGTGTGTGTGTGTGTATAGATAGATATATAGATACTCTATATATAGATATATAGCAATATTCCACTTAAACATTATAAAAACCGCTGCTGAATCACAATATTACAGTATATATTATAATTAATATTAAGCTAAGTTAAAACGGATTTTGGCAGCGCCCATTATGTATGCCACAACATTTTCAATAAGGCCTGAATGGTTCTAATAAAATATAATTTCCTTGAAGGAACCTAATTTTAGATTTCACACTCGCTATGTTTTAATTCAACTTAAAAAAAAAAAAAAATTGTCTACACTCACAACGCAACTATGGTGAAGATGCTAGGAATAGTTCTGATCCTCTTCAAATATCCATGTCAAACTGGGCATCTTCTCCTATGGGCAGATAAGAGCGGATAGAAGAAAATGTACACAAGGTGTTATATGCAGGTACATCTCAATAAATTTGAATCTCGTAGAAGTTCCATTCAAAAAGCAGAACTCACATAACACAAAAACAAAACAAAAAACATGAGAGTGGAACCTCAGTTAACAAACGGCCCAGCTGACAAACAATTTGGTTTGTGAACTCAATTTTTAAAGCAAAATTAGGTTCACACGCTTTTTTTTCCGGTTCATAAACAGTCTTTGCATGACTACGGAAAGGCTCAGCTGGAATTTTTCTCGTGGCGCGTAAACATCATTGGCCCTCAGTATGGCTCCAAAGAAAGGACCAATTGCGAGTGAGTGTTATTCGGAAATCATGAAATTAATTGATTTTTGGAAAGGGAGATCCACTGTGTTTTATATTTATCCAATTTTCATGATAGTAGATTACAGTTCAGAAAACCCCCAAATTCATCATGTGATTAGCTAAAAGGGGTGATCATATACCAGCTGTCATTTCAGTTTGCACAAGCAATTCTGCATTACATCACGAAGTCAATGTGTCCAAACAAATGTTTACCTGCACCCTCTGAATGTTGGCTGTGCTCAGTATGACCGCTCTCACTCATTCCCGGTTGGCAGATCTCAGAGGAGGATTCCCGTTTGAGGGGCCTAGTGACTCCCGGGATGTCTGGGAGCTTCGGAGGCGTGCAAGCCAGGGGAGAGGTGCGACACTGAAGTAGGAACTTCCTGTCGTAGATGATTCGAGTTCCTGCAGAACCAAGAGGGAAAGGCGTATCAGTACTGGTTTTATTTGGTCGACTGTTTCAACTCCAGGGGAAGCACCAAAGCTGAACACATTTCTGCTGGTTGAATTCCAAGTTGTTTTAATTTCAAAATATTTTGTTGACAACGGTTTTGGTTCTTAAAAATGATTGTTTTCACCTTTGTTAAGTGGGCATTTTTACTATTCGTATGTGATGTGCTATATGTTATTTCCATTTGCATCTGCTCGGCTGAACACATTTCTGCTGGTTGAATTCCAAGTTGTCAAAACATTTTGTTGACAACGGTTTTGGTTATTAAAAGTGATTGTTAAGTGGCAATTTTTACTATTCGTATGTGATGTGCTATATGTTATTTCCATTTGCATCTGCTCGATGGGGTCTATTTATGGATTTAATGATTGCCCGAATGTGTATATGCAGGTACGGTATATATATAGGTGCCCATTTTTTATACAGTCTATGTACATGTAAAGTGGATGCAGTTGTTTTACTGATGTCTGAGACAAATTTACCCATTTATCATGATCAAAAGTATTTGCTGGTGTCGCTTGATTAAATGTGCGGATCGAATTGATAATCAACTACTTTGCTCATGTAGGACTGATCAACGGCACTCTCTTGTCAAGACATCAACAACAAAAAAATAAAATAAAATACAAAGTAAAATGATCAAAAGTATTTGCTGGTGTCGCTTGATTAAATGTGCGGATCGAATTGATAATCAACTACTTTGCTCATGTAGGACTGATCAACGGCACTCTCTTGTTGAGACGTCAACAAAAAAATAAATAAAATAAAATACAAAGTAAGTTACTGACGCTGATCGATAATGACATCCTCATGAATTACGATTCACCAACCTGTTGATATTCATTGTGTGCATGCATAATGTTGCACATTGGATGTCCCATTTGAGTACAGTATTGGGAGGCGTGAATAATGGCATGCTTTTCCATAACTTTGACCTCTGACTAGAAACTCTTTTTGGACATTCCACTTTGGAGGTTGCACTGCAAATAGAAATGGAGTGGACAACCACAATGTAACTCAGCGGGCATCCTATTCTTATGCATTCCGGCATGTAAGTACAAGCTGCTCTCTGGCACGATCCGATATTTTGCATTTGTTGACTCTTCTGTTTGAAGTGGCACTATATTCACCTCACCTATGAGGCTCATCTTGACATCACAGGTGTCCAAATCCGGTCCTTGAGAGGAGCTATCCGGCACGTTTTAGACCTTTTCCTTCTCCAATACGCCCGATTCAAATGATCAGCTCATCTGCAAGCTCTTCAGAAGCCTGATAATGATCCTGATCATTTGAATCAGGTGTGTTGGAGGAAGGGAAATATCCAAAACATGCAGGACAGCGTCTCTCTAGGACCGTATTTACACCCCTGGTCTTCATGCAAGTGCTTGACTGACCTATATTTTGATGCCATGACACACAGAGTGGGTCAACTGCATTTGTGTGTGCGTTTTATCAGTGCAAATTTGTCCCACCTGCCACATTTACACAAGTATCATTGACGACCGACATGTGGACATGCCATCAACTTTCTCACATGTGGACATGCCATCAACTTTCTCACTGCTGACAGTGTCAATAAAAAGTAAGTAATTATCTTTGTGAAGACAGATTTTGTGATTCATTTTATTTGATTTTTTTCAGATACTGTGCAAGGAGTCATAATATTTCCCTGCTCTGCTGCAGCACATTTTCAAAGGGCTGCAACAGAGTAGTGAATAACTGAACACTATTGATCATTAACATGGGCACATGACAGGATTGACATGAAGCCTATAGATGATTGTTCTAGGGCGGTAATGTGGGGACTATTTTTCCTGTTAAAAGTAAATTTTAAAGTCCTCTGCTACAGAGCAGCGCATTATTTATTATATGTTCGGAACATTTATGGCTTTTAATGACAGTTTCTCTGATGCTCGCCATTCGTGGCAGGGTTTGGTTGGATATTCAGGGTTTTTCCTGCGTTGAAGGCCGCTCCCAGCCAGACAAATTGATATCACTCGACCGATTGTGAAATATCACCACGCGCCACATGTCTCTTGCGCGATCGCCGTGTTTGTATGCGGGAGGGAGACCCTTCACTTTGCTCACTTCGCCTCAAGCGGACAAGAGGAGGAGCACTCCGTCCTCCGTCCAAAAATGTTTGTACGTCGCCAGTCTGACCGACTGTGTTTGTGTTGGCAGCTAAATGCCATCTTGTATGACACTTGAACGGATTAAACAATTCAAGCCAGGCGGTTCAAAAAGCTGTCTGTGTTGGATGCCTCTTGTTCCCGTCCCAGTCCACATGTCGGACCAGTCTCCCTAGGGCGGGCCATAGGGGGCAGTGTCCGCCCACCAATATGTCATTTGAGGCACGGATTTATAAAAGTAAATTTGTATTATTTTTTTAAAATCATTGTAGCCATTTTCGTGTTGTGTAGTACTACTGTAATGTTGAGTTGATTATCACCAAGACATTAAATTTTTTATAAATATGGATTTTTGTTTGATCGTTGGCCAGTATTATTTGCAACAAGAAATCACGGCGTTACTAAAAATAAAGTTCGGGATGCAGGCGTAGACGCGATGAATACATCAGTGTTTGCATGCGAGAGTCCTGCACATTTTTCAAAGTGTGGCACTGTGTCATATGGCAAAACATGTCATGTGTTTTTTATTTTATGGACGACGCGTTTCTCTCGTGCAGTGACATGAGCCTTGTAGTGAGCGCCACTATGAAGAGGAAAACATTTAAACAGCACACTGTAAAAAGAAAAGTTTTCCTTTGAATTGTAAAGATCCAGTTTGACCCATGGCCGAGTTACCTCCGGGCGTGGTGCTGAACACGGTCCCCCCGGGGGTCGTGGAGTACTCATGGGGCATGTGGGCAGCCTCCAGGACGGCGACGCGCCTCACTGCCGGTATATCCCGGCTCCCGCTGGCCTGACCTGTAGCTGACATAATTTGGAGGATAATGCGTTCTTGGTAAAAGGGTCGTCCTGAAGTTGCTTCAAATGAGATCCCCCGTTGCCTCCATGTGCTACCTCCGAAACCAAAACAACCCACAAAGCCCTCCTACGCCAGTACGTCGAGCGACGGGCAGTGATTGGCTGAAAGCAGGGGGCGTCACAAACTGCGGAAGTCGTGGTTTTTTTTGTTTGTTTGATTTTTTTTTTGTCCCGGTGAATGGTGAATCACGACACAAATTAAGCCAAATAAAATTACAAACTGCATAGGTACATTATGTTTCAACATAAATACACTAATGACGCTACTTAATACTGTACGCGTTTACGTAATCAGATGAAAGCAGGGGGCGTCACAAACTGCGGAAGTCGTGTTTTTTTTTTTTGTTTGATTTTTTTTTTCCCGGTGAATGGCGAATCACGACACAAATTAAGCAAAATAAAATTACAAACTGCATAGGTACATTATGTTTTAACATAAATACACTAATGACGCTGCTTAATACTGTACGCGTTTCCATAATCAGCCAAACACACACAAAGCTATTTTTTGCTGCGGTTTTCTGCCAAGCGCCATTTCAAGGTTACGAACGGCGCACAACGAGCGTACTTAGGTCTTAGCATACATCCCTACACGGGAACAGAAGCACGTTCTCAATCATATTTATGACCGAGCAGTGTTTCTCATACAAATACATAGAACCACAAAATGTTCCGTCATCGTCGGAAAGAAACTCAGACGTAAACCGAAGAATCCCCGTCAAGACTGATCAGACAGGCTTATTTAAATTAAGGGGAAAGTGAAGACAAATTCGAATTTGAGTTTAAAAGACAATAACAGAATATTCTACGAATGGAAATGCATCTCAATAAATTTGAATGTTTGGAAATAATTCAGTCGTCATATTTTGTTAATTTAATTTCAGATTATTTTAGGTTCGAGGTAAAAAAGCAAAATTCATTCCAGAGAGAACAGTGTGAAATAAAGAAACAAAAATGTGATTTTAAATTTAGAAATTAGGCTTAAATTGGCCTTTTAAAAATATTCTCTCTGTTGGATTAATCTGTTTAAAATGCAATATTTAAAAAAGACTTTCCCATGATGAATTGAACTATTGAAAATATACTTTTTTTACAACATTGAAAATTATTGAGATGCATGTATATGTAAACACTGGGAATCATTTTGGAATAATACAAAAATTATGTCACATCTTTGTTTATTAAGTCTTGTAAATGGTTTGAGCTGGTGTACAGGGTAAGATGATCTATACATATTTTTAAGTCAGAACAAATCTGATTAAAAGTCCTGTATACATTTTGTTGTTTTTTTTTTCTTCTTCTGGACCAATAGAAAAGAAAAGGAAAAAGTGGACAATGCTACGTAGCCTCTACATTCCCCATCATGTGGGCATCGGCTAACTAGATAATGCTGAAAGAACATCCAGAACAACTCTATGAGGGTGCATAGCATTCTAATGAAATATATTTTGTCTTATATATTTTTATACACATATTTTCATAAAAACATCTTTTCGTGTGCATGGGTGCAGTTGCATTCCTTAGGATAGAGTAATATGATATTGCGTTTACATTGTCATGTATCCATTCTAAAGGAGTATAGGTGAGATCTATTCTTCTTCTCGTCGATTTACATGTTACAGTACTCTTTAAAATACATCATTGGGCGTTATGCTACTTTTTCAAGTGACATGCCTGCTTAAAAATTGTGTTCTTCCACATCAAGCATCATATTTCACCTATACCCCTGGCCAAAAAAAAAAAACTAAACAAAAAGACAAAATAGTCACTCACCCCAAAACAACTACAGCTCTCAATCAATCATCTCACAGAGTAGGGCCTTGCACAAAATAAAAACATTTCATAGTTTCTGAAAGGAAAACCTGAGTGGCGTTACCAGTGGAAAACGTGATATGTGGCAAATATAGTCCATGCACTGGCCATGTAAAAATGTGTGAAATGCGTGCAAAATAATGAACTCATTCGTTCAGTCAGTCTCAGGCTACAGTAGCACTTACAGTACTTATGGGATACATAGTTTGTGTTTTCATGGTCAGCGCATGCGTGCTACCGTGATATGACAACGTCAGGCTTCTGCATTAAAAAAAAAAAAAAAAAAAAATTGAGTTACGTCAAGTTCCCGACAAATTCAGGCTTTGGTGGACGCAGCCTATGAATTTGGACACAGCCAATGTCTGACCTCAGTTCAATTTCAGGCATGGTTCTTGATGACTTTTTCATGCGCGACTGTGATTCACCCCCTCAAATGGTCAAAACGTCCCCTTAAAGGACTTAAAAAAAAAAAACATCAGGAAAAAAGGTTCTCCACCACTGCGCTCAACACTTAGACAAAACATGACAAATGATACACATTCATTGTGTAGGATACTGCAACATAACACTGCTTGATTTGATAAATGCTGTAAAATACAGATGCAAATCTCTCAGGCGTCGACAGTCCCACACTGATATCACACTGGACTGATCCTGTGTCAGCGTTTTCTCTCTGACTCACTCACATCAAGGTCGACACAGCACGCGGGATCTTGTGTTATCCAGAAGGTGAAAAAAAAAACAAAACAAAACAAAAAAACCCTCCAATTTGTATGTCTGCAGAACTTCCTTGTGGAACCCCTCGCGCTTTTGGGATTTTATTGCTGTGGCAAGTTCACACAATCCGACACCCTAACCAGTCTGTAAGCATCTTGACTGTGTGTGCTTTAGATTGTTATGACATCAAGAGCCTGGGGACGGGGAGAATGTTGACAATCACAGTGCTGCCTGCACAATCACACGTCATAGTAGCACAATACTGTACTTTACTTTATATTTTCATTTTTTTTATATTGGAAATCACCGCATCCTGCAGCCAACGTAATCATTTGAAACATTGAATGGATGGGGAACGCGGTGTGGAAAAGTATTCTGCATATCAAGTGAGGCTACTGCTTTTGGAGAAATGATGTCAGTCAGGTCGAAGAAGGGCCGTCAGAATGGAAAAAGTTATGCTCTGCGTTATGGAGAGTGAACAACCCCTTCAACAGAAAAAGGGTTCGGCCACAGCTTTTAAGAAAATAAAAGTTGGTGGGTTTTCGGTGGGCAAAACAACAACAACAAGAACAACAAGGTGAGGCCAATTCAGCACACAAAGATGGGACACTCAAAAGCAGGAGTGCACTGAGGCGCTCTCTTTCCAAGTGCTGACATCACAAGGCCTTTGAGCCAATCAGGGGGTAGGGCTCATCGCCCTGTCAGAAGCAAGGAAGGCATGCGTTAGCAAAGCCACCCCACACATACGCACAGCGACACACATACACATAGCAGAGAGTGCATATTTACAACAAGCTCACAGAACATAAAGGCTCTACTGAAAGAAGCATTGGCAGGCTCAGCAGAGGCCATCAGTTGGAGCAGTGGGGGGAATTTCTCCTTTTTTGGGGCTGCAGTGTTATTGGGGTCAACCTGTGCGGGCCAATTGAGTCTTTAAAAGGTCACAGGACCTAAGCATAGGCTGGCCCTCTTCAGCTTGTCGATAATGACAGTTCAAAAGGTGGAAGTCATGCACCAGCAGTCATCATGCAGTTACAGTTCACAGGAAGCACTTTTTGTTGTCGTAGTTCAGTGACATTTGTGTTGTTTTTTTTTTTTTTTTTGGATTGTTTTGTAGAAAAAAAATGCTCATGCTTTCGTTTTAGTGAGACTTTACAAATGATATAAAACTACACGTCGAGCTCTTGAACACTTTTTTCTTTCCTCTGGAAGTATGTCACATGTTGAGGGCAATTCCATGTTTGTCATTTTGGTAGACTCTGTCCCGTCGCTCACTTTCCTTTGCGTTCCGGATGTGGTTTTGTAGAGGAAGCTTTGGCAGTGGCTCTCTTGTCCTAGCAGACACACAATGAAGCAGAAATAGATTTGGTCCCTGCCAAAGCAAAGAGGTACCTTGACTTACGAGTAGTGCTCAACAACTCAATCTTCAAACTGACATTGCAACGTAGGAGAATGCAATTCTCAAATCGCAAAATCTGCAATCAGGAATAAAACATATATGAGCTCAGCTTCATTTTGGTCGGTGGATAGGCCTTATTTGTTTTCTAATATACCGGTGTGTGTGCGTGTGTGTGTGTGTGTATATTTTATATATATATATATATATATATATTACCGCTTATCCTTATGAGTGTTGTGGGTGTGCTGGAGGTGGGGTACACCCTGAACTGGTTGTCAGCCAATCACAGGGCACACATAGAAGAACCATTCACGCTCCCAATCACACCTGGGGACAATTTAGAGTGTTCCATTAACCTGCCATGCATGTTTTTGGAATGTGGGAGGAAACCAGAGTACCCGCAGAAAACCCACGGAGGCACGAAGAGAACATGAAAATTCCACACAAGGAGTCCATAGCCGGAACCGAACTCTGCACCTCTGCACTGTGAGGCGGACATGCAGTCAAGAAAACAAAACCTTTTTATATAATACATCTGATATTGTAATACAGATTAATTTATTGTTTGTTTAAATATACATGGGAAGTGGACCCGAAAACCTAATCACATACAGTAATAAATCACAATCGCAATACTGAGTAAAAAAAAAAAAAAAAAAAATCCCAATTACATTATCGCAAACATATACAGGTACTGTATCCCTTATATTGCTGAAGCCAGGTCGAAACTTCCTATGTCAATTTTTTTCCCACAAATCTATATTACTGGTCCGTTTACATGTGTATGTGCCATTTTTACAAAATTACTGAGTAATGTTAGTTGTTGAAAATGGCTTGCTCTTTTCTTTGTCTCCTGGTAAGTGGTGAGTTTGGACGTACAAAGATTCAGCCCAGTGCCAGTGATAGACTGTTAAAGTGTGAGTTCCTAAATTTGTCCAGCTTCTGTGTTGGTATTTCTCTCCCTCAGAATTGATAAAATGAGATTCACCTTAAACCTCAGTTTAAAAGCTTGTGTTGATATCAAATCCAAAGTGATGCAATACTGCCATCTACTGACATCTGTTGGTCATGACAATCAAATAGCTTGACTCTCACCAACAATATATCACGAAAGAAATGGTGCCTTTTCAGGGCATGAATGCATTTTTAATTGCTATTCAATGGATTTTCATCCATCATTCATAAATCAAGGTACCATTGTTCTGCAAACAAGGCGTCACTTCCACGGCATGTAATGATGTGTATTAAAAAGAACATTAAGGTGCTGCTCCGGTAAGGTTTTTTCCAAGCGCTGCACTGGGAATCAGTGCTTGTGTGGAGGGAATCGCGTACCTCGTGGACCAGGTTGTGTGTGTTGTGTTTCAGTGTTTAACCCTCCGAAGACTGGTGCGCTGCACCGACTGAGCGGCCCTTCTCACATCCGCCCCCACCTGGAGCAAGGAGGGAGGGAGGAGGGACGGAAACAACACTCCTGTTAACGTGTTGAAGTGTCTATGTGGAACCGGAGCAAGAAACGAGCTCGCGGTGTGCCGCCGTCCCACAGTGCACCTGTTCGGTACGTAGGTTTGGTCAGGAAGGGAACGTGCACGGCTAAAAAGAATGTGATTCTGTATGAGTTGGATGCTTTTGCATCCTCTCATATGACCATCAAGACGCAACGTCTGTAAGTACGCAGAATATATGTTGCTGCGGTTGATTTATTTTCATGCTTAGTGGGCATTATTAGTGTTAAAATTTGGCCCCGTTTCAGTTGAAGTCTCTCTGTATATATACTGCATGTACTGGTATGTCTCAAGCAACTGTCAAAGATGTCATGTTTTGACATGTGGGTTCTTGTTTCGATTTGGAAGTCATCACTTTTTCACATTTTTAGACCAAGGGGACTGCATCGAACATATTATTGGAAAGAAAAGTTTTGGGTTGACTTCCCCTTTAATATGACAGTGTATGATTTTGACGCATATAATTCCACTCACCTTTCGATTGAGAGTGCTCCCGCGTTCGTCAGCAGCATAGTCGTCTTTCTCCTCTCTCTGCATGAAGACAATATTTCAGCTATGAATACAGAAATGTCTTTTTAGGCAACAAGAAACGGTCATTTGAGATGTCTGGATAGGAAGAAAATGGCAGACTTTTACCCATGTGTTGAGCCTCACAACACATTTTTCTGACCGTGGCGTCATCAAAATGACCCATTTTGATGAGAACTGTTCAATGAGACTCAAGTTATTGATGATCACATATGATCACATACTGCTGTGTTGAGAATAATAGCAGTGTTTTGTTGTTGTTTTTTTTTAAGTGAGTAATGCTCAATGCGTCATATTCAGTTATATTGAAAATACATACTAGTAGGGTTGGGCGATTATTTGATTTCAGTAACTACCATGAATTGAACTTTTTCAGGGTTCAACTTGATCCATCGTACAGTATGTGCCTCCAAGCTAAAAATATTTTGAGGTTGTCTGCCTCACCTGAACAACTCGGTGAGTATTTATATTCACATTTTGAGAAAAGTGTCTTTTTTTTCACAAGGTGAAAAAAAAATAGTATTCAGATCATCTGCAAAATGTATTTAATTTTTAATAATTATAAAATATGCAAGTTAAAGCTCTACAAAAAAATAACTGGAAAATGGTTTGAATGCCAGTGACAAGAAGTTATTCAAGTCAGTTTTATGACTGAAGTTATGGGATAACATGAAAACAAAAATCCTGTCACCGAGGCCAATCCAAGAATTGATTCTTTTGAGGAGCATTTCCTCAAAATCAGGGGTGCCCAAGTGTGGTCCTCGAGAGCCGCTATCCGACCTGTTTCAAACATCTCCCTTCTCCACCAAACAGACTGGAAAGGGGCTCTCGAGGACCGGACCTGGGATCCCTGCTCTATGACATAAGGCAACGCAACCTCCTCAAGTATTTAAACTGATCCATGACTCCTGGTATGGCATAAATCGGCCCAAAAGCATAGCATGAGAAACATTCCCATATAATTCACTCACTTTTCAAAACAAACTGCTGTTAATTTGAACACAACAGTATCTAACTACATGGCTGGCTTCTCATCACCTCCTTTTAACCCTTTCAGGGACAGCGGTCACTACAGTGGACGGCTTATCATGTTAGAAGGTTAGAGGGTGCATGAAAGGGTTAAAAAAAAAAAGTACAAACAAACCAAAAAAAAAAAAAGCAAACAAACATGGATCGGATGTTCCCACTCCAAAAAAAAACGGCGGCTCGTCGGCCTCAACCTGACCTTGCCCCGCCTCCACTCCTGTTCCCACGCACGCTCCCCTGTCTGCCGGTAAGAGAAGCCCAGCCCCTTGCCCCGCAGGAGGTGCTCACGCAGCACCTGTGAGTAAGCTGTGTCACACACCGGAGTCAGCAGAGCCTCCTGGGCGGCGTGCAGGCCTGGCGCACTCTTGTTCCGTCCCGTTGATACTGAGCCCACCCAGCCCTGCAAGGAATCCTTGTCAGGTAGGTAAGGTTGAAAAGCTCCGCCCCCAACCAACCTAACATTGGAAGAGAGTAAAAGAAAGTGAGTAGTGGATGAAGAGATATTTGGAGTAAGTCTATGAGGCCCATTCACACTGCCTATTTAGGATTGATTGTTTCCCCCCTCTCCCAACCCGGTCCTGTGTAGAAGTTACTGATAAGAATTGGGGGTGATGTATTTTGGCTGAGAGGCCATCCTGTGTTCACTCGGTGCTTACGGAGGGCTTCTCAATCTAATCCATCTTGCTCCCATATCTCCAGAACATGCACTGTGCACCAAACAAAGGAACTAGGTAGAACGAGACAAATTACAATCTGGGACTGACAACCATCCACCTATCGATGATCACAAAGAAGATGCAAAAAAAAAAAAAAAAAGTGGGACTTCTGCTTTTTGATCAAGAAAGTGCCACCTGCACTATTTTACTAAATCACAAAAACATGGGGCAATTGGCAAGGAAAAAGCTCATTTCATTTCTATCTTAGTAAAAATAATCATTTGTTTTAAGAAGGAACTGGCGCCACTTCACCTTTGACTCCAATGAGGACAAACCGGACAGTTTCTCAGCATTCGAAAATGGCAACACGCGAGAAAAAAATGACTATATAAAGTAGTACTAGCAAAATCCTTGTAGTACCATAAATTCACAGAACTGAATCACCGTTTGCCAAGTCAGCTGTGTGAAAGCACACAGGAATGTCCTGCCCCGATGGTTTCTGCGCAGATTGTGCCAGTGTGCCCCCGATGCTGCAATTTTCTGCAAAGGCAGTGTGAAAGGGGTCAGAGTAAGAAGTGACATACCGGTTGTCTCCATTGTGCTCGCCCACTCGACTCAACGGAGACACCTCAGGGTGGGCGTACATCTGCTGGCCTGTAACAACACAAATGCCTTCCACTGAACCAAGCCCTGCCCCTCCTCTTTTGGCTCCCCCTCCCCCCGCGGGAGCTTCCCCTCTCCTCCCGTCCGACCTCTGACCTCCCAGCTGGCCATTCAAGTTGACCTTGGGAACGGCGCCACTGGCTCTGACCCGGTCCCTTTCCGCCAGCGCGCCCACTGGCTCCAGTGGCGCCTCCTCCTCCTCAACCTCCCCTTCCTCCTCCTCCTCCTCCTCTTCCTCCTCCAGCTCCATGAGGGAGCCGCTCGCCCCGCTCGCTCCGCTGCTCGGGCGGCCCAAACTGCACGGAAGGGAGAGCGTGGCGCCTTCCGAGTCGTCCGCTCGGCTGCTGCCATCCAAAGAAGAGTCTTCCACCGTAACCAGCGAGGGGCTGACCCCCGTTGGCCACACATGGACGTCCGACATCTCCATCAAAGTGTCTTCTTCTGTGGCGGCGATGGGGGCGCACTCCAGACTGGACACTTCCTGCCAGTAGGGCTCTGCACCAAGAGGAGAAGGCAAACTGTATTGCATGGAGGCCGGAGACAGCAGCTCCTCCTGAACCAGCCCATAACCTGGAGGGACGACAGGGGCAACACAAGAGAAAGACTAACACCATGCAGGCACAGCCAGGCAGTATGGGGTGGTGATGGGGAGGGAGCAGGAGTGTTTCTCGTCAAAGATCTAAGGCTTTCCTTCCACCGATCAGTACAGCTCAGTTCAGATTGGTTCCATTTTGGGGGCTACCAACTATGTGACTGTGCAACAGAGTTGTCCAGTACCACTTTTTAAACCATCATTTGTAAGTAGACCAACCCAAAAGACAATTAGGGTTGGTGATTGGATGAGAGAAAATTGAATGGAAAGAACATCAAATACCCCCCCCCCCCCAAAAAAAAGACAAGTTACCGCAAGGGTTTCTTTGTTACATTTGTTGGCAGGTTACACTATGTCACGCTACCATGAGGTCACGTCAAGCGTGTGGCGGATGCAGCAATCGCCTTGATCAGGGTTTACAGATCCAAACCGCGCCATACTGACGTGAACTGTACCGATTGGTGCAAATGTGTGTGGGGCTCAACCCTGTCCCAATAAATCTGCAAAAGCCTTGAGTTAGCCTTAATCGGGTTTGTATTCAGAATTTAAATAGCCAGATTAAAAGGCACAATGGTACTCTGACACCAGCAAGTTTCAAACCGCACATCCTTCAGAGTATTCTGACAATGTGACATATACAGTATTTATCCCCAAATGGCTGTGAAACTGTATCAAGAAATGCTGGAAAGAAAGTTACCGTAGGTTCGTGTCATTGGGACACGGTGAGTGAGTTTGAGGGCAAGCTAGAAGGGTTTGGTGAGTCATCAGTCTCTGTCACAACATGAGGCTATGACTGTCAAAAGAATGTCGAAATGCAACATAGCGGACCAAACTAAAACGAAAAGAAAGTGTTTGTTGTTGGGTTGGCACGATATTTGGTCATCTTCAAACATTTGTAGGAATCCTCTGCTGTATCGTTGTCTCGGCAACTCGTGATAACATGTACTTGCATTCAGGTCAAAATTGAAAAGAAAAAAAAAAACTACTCTTTGGGAAGTGGATCATTATTGCTTCCTGGGATTGATAATGTCATCCTAATTTTTGACAAGATTTTTGGATGATGGAGACATCTTTTCCAAAACACTCAGGCAGCATTGTTAGTATCGTTCCAACCCTTCGAACACTCCCCATAGTGGGAGACAATGCAAAGTCACTGCCAGTTTCTGCTGCCCCCGCATTCTCAAGAATTAGCCGTGCATACATACTAAGTCTCCTCAAACATGCCATCACACACACACACACACACACACACACACACACACACACACACA